CCTGCTGGGAACTGAACCTGGGCTCCCAAGGTGGAGTGCACTGACTGTAACTTCTAGGCCACTGGGTGGCCCCTCTCATATCATTTTCAAAACTTGTTTTTTTGGTTAGAAATTTGAAGACACAGGCCAGAAAACATGGTAGAAGGAAAAGATCCTAAATCAAGTTCTGTTATTTTTAAGATGGAAAATATTTGAAAGGTAAGCAGGCAGTATAAAGGAAGCAAGATCCAGAATACTGAAGAGGTGTTTGCTCAGCAGGAAAGAACAACTTGTCTCAAGTTGGTTGCATCCCCACCCTGACAGAACCTCACAAAAGATGGCTCTTTACCTCTGGAGGAATGGGATAATAGACTAGGGCTAGGCCAGGAGTCCCAGATACATTGAAGCCTGCTAGACTGGGCCCTTCCTTCTCCAGGATTCTCATGAGCTCTGCCCCCGATGCCTCTAGGTTTCTGGCTGGGGGACCCAGGCTGGAGATTTGGAATAAGGGGTCAGGAGTCAACGACACTGCCACTGTGATGACAGTGGGCCAGAGATGCCCCTTCCTAGTCCCAGGATCTACTCTCGCCCCCAGCGCCGCGTCTTGGCCGGTGAGATGCCTCTCCTTCCTTCCCTCCCTTCCCACACTCCAGCCAAGCCCGACTCTTCATGCCCAGAGCTGGAGATCTCCGCCAGGGGGCGCGCCTTGCACTATCGGTCGCCGGGTCAGCAAGCTGCGATTCCGGGGGTGTAGACTTTCCGGGATGGTTAGCACCTTCCCTGTGTGGTTGCGCACAGCCCTCCGACCCCCCGCGAGGCTTGGGATTTCCTTCCCAGCCTCAGGCCCCTGCCTGCCCCGCTCTGCCCCCACAGTCAATGCGCCCGCCTCGACGCCCTCCAGCCGTCGACCTGGCCCGTCTCCCGCGCACCTGAGCCTAGAGCATAGCGCGGTGCCCGCACCCCGCACCTGCTCCTAGGGCGACCTCCCCGCGCAGTGCTGGCCGCCACCCACCCCCAAGACGCGGTCTCCACCCTCCTCCTCTGTGGCCACCGACTGCTCAGTGAGTGGAGCCGCTCCCCTCACTCCCGAGCCAGGACAGCCTCCGCCTTTCCCCTGCACACAGGGGTCTGAGGGAGAATGCCCCCTCCCGGCTTCTCGCAGCCGGCCCTTAGAGGTTCCCTGGGCGCCGCACAGCCTCCTCCTTCCAGGGACCCCTCTCCTTCCCCCAGTGTGGCCACTGACAACTACGTCTCAAGTGGTGCTCCCCAGCGTCATCAGCCCTCTTGACGCCGCCCTCCCGGACCCTCCCGCGGTCCGGCCGTACTCACTGCTCCTTGTTCCTTGGGGCAGAGGAAAGTCCTACCGGGCGCTCCTGCTCCCAGGCGCCCCCAGGATATGTGTATGCAGCTGTGGATCTCCTCTGTGCTTTGTTAGATGCAGGGCCCCTCGCGGCTGACACCTTCTCCGCTCCGGTTCCTTATGCCACCCCACCCCCCTCCAGCTTGATCTGATTATTTTTCTGGCCAGGCCACACGAGTTACGGGATCCCCACCCCCATCAAAGCAGGCTGGGGGGTGGGGTGGGGGAGGACCGGCAAAGATACAGACCCAGCCGCCGAGGTCACTCAGGCCAAACAACTCTCCCTTCTTGGCCCAAACCGGAAAGGCTTACAACTCCTTCATTCCAGCATGTTCTTTCTCCCCAGGCTTGCATTTTTAGGTTTTTTAACTCTAAAGGGATGACTTTTTCTACATTTAAAAGAATTTCAGGAATTGTGTTCTTGCTATCGTTTTTCTTTCCTCTCTGCAAGGTCGCTCACTTGATTCCTTTTTATCTGCATACTCCACTCCCATTCAGCTGCCCCTGGAGTTCGCCATTCCATTGTTTATGTTTTGTTTTTATGTGTTCTTGCCAAAAAAAAAAAAGTGTCTTGTTTTGCTGACATGCATTTTAAATTTGTATAAAAAGAATTGTATTATTTCTCTTTCAGTTTCTTTTCTCTCAACTCTAAGATTTCAAGATTCATCAGTGTAGCTTCACCCCTTCTAACTGCCTGCTGCCTCCTCTCCACGGTGCTCATTACCTTTCCCATCTCCTGCCATCACCAATAACAGCACAATCATCATTCTCATACACATCCCCTCTTATGCAGCACTTCTCAAACATTAGTGTCCTCGTGTAGCACCTGGGAATCTTGTTAAAATGCAGGCTCTGATTCAGCAGACCTGGGGTGGGGCCTTTGACTCTGCATTTCTAGCCAGCTCCCAGGTGATGCCTATACTACTGGTCCTGGGACCACACTTTGAGGAGCAAGGCCCTTATGGGCCTCTGAGAATTCATTTTGGGTTGCTGGGTCACAGGGTATGTGTTGATCTAATTTGATAAGTATTGCCCATCTGTTCTCTGGGATGGCTGTAACACCTTACCCCACACCAGCAGAGCAGGAGGGTGGAAGGTATATATTTATGTAAGGGAAGAAGGCCTTCTCCTTGCTCCTGCCCACATCCAGTCCCCCAGTGTGTCTGGTCTGGGCCAAAACCTCCTCTCTCCCTTAATCAGAATGGCCCCAAGGCTCCGGAGTGATGTCCCTGGCCAGCAATGCACGGCTAAGTCTATGATGGACCCAAGACTAGCATCCTGGCCTCTGAAAGGAGCTTTAAGAACAGGCATTGGGAAGCCATGGAGTCTTCAGTTAGGTTGTATTTCCTCCATCGCTTTCCCATTAGTAGCTGTTAGAGTGGACTAGGACTCAAACAGCCCAGGCGTGCCACTGGCAAGAAGCTGACTTCTCATTTCTAAAATGGAATAGTAACAGCATGGCTACAGTTAGTGGTGTGAGGAGTCAGTCCAGGAACTTCACCCACATGCCAGGAGCCCTAAGACAGGCATTTTTTTTTTAAATTTTTTTTTGTGAGGAAGATCAGCCCTGAGCTAACATCCATGCTAATCCTCCTCTTTGTGCTGAGGAAGACCGGCTCTGAGCTAACATCTGTTGCCAATCCTCCTCCTTTTTTTTCCCCAAAGCCCCAGTAGATAGTTGTATGTCATAGCTGCACATCCTTCTAGTTGCTGTATGTGGGACGCCGCCTCAGCATGGCTGGAGAAGCGGTGCCTCGGTGCGCGCCCGGGATCTGAATCCCGGCCGCCAGTAGCGGAGTGCGCGCACTTAACCGCTAAGCCACGGGGCTGGCCCAAGACAGGCATTTTTGCCTTTGTTTTACCCATGAAGACAATGAAGTTCAAGAAGGCTTAGCAATTTCCAACAAGGCTGTGGAGCTAGAAAGTGACAATGCTGGGATTTGAACCCCGCCTCAGCTAATACACCAAAGCCCACACTAACCACGAGGCTATGCCACCTCCGAGTTCTGCTTTGCGCTCACTACCAGGCCTTATTTCAGAGAGAACCACAAGGGAACAGGAAGGAGGTGCCTGGGGTTTCAGGCACTGATGCTGAAGGCATCTAGCCAGTGGCATGCAGGGTTATGAAACTCCACAGCAAATGGGTTTTGGCAAAAATGAACCCAGGTTCTAGGGGCTGGTCCCCAGGGCCTGAATATTTAGGTGGCAGAAGAGGGGGACTTTGGGTCTAGGGCTTTAGGAGCAAGATTTTAGGGTTAGATATACAGTGGGGTTGGGACTGGGGGGGAGCTGGGGAGGGTCAGGAGGGTCCGGAGTGGCTTGGGGTCAGGTGGGTGGTTCTTAGCTGTGGGTAAAGCTGTCTATCATGTGCTTACTCGGTAATGACTGGTCACTCACTGTTTTGTTTGGCGAGTCAGCAGAGGGAACAGCCAGCATCCTCGGCATCAAGGGATGCCACCTTCCAAGGCCTTCCAAAATGTGAGCAGCTTGCTGGGTTGGTTTTAGAAACCCATGGGCTACACTTTCCCCACTCACACAGCTGTGCAAGCATCTCCTGGCACCAAGCCCCAGCCAAGCATTTCACAATCAGAAGAGTTCAACATCTGCACGTTTTGAGAATTCATAGCATAAGACCTTTAACATCTTGTCCATTCCCATCCATCCTCTGTTTACCATCGTAGAGCCCAAACTGTATCCATGATAGAGCATTTCTCTGAAGGCCTAGGGAAGCTTCCTGCTCTTTCAATGGCCTTCGGGGTCAAAAGACCTTTTGAGCCTAGAGAATGTTCTTAGAGTTCAAGACAATATCTTACAGTTTTCTGGTCTTTACAAAGTACTTCACACACTGGTATTGCCTTTGACTCACAATGACCCCAGGACAGTGTCAGGACCCACTTAACACTGAGGTTCAAAAGAATTGACTGGCCAGGGCCACACATTGTGTAGGTGGGTGAAACGGGACGTCTTGTTCGTTTTTCGATAACAGACTTTAGGAGTCTTAAAGCTTAGGTACTCTCTGGGACCCTCACTACCCTAGTTGGCCCATTTCCCAGACTTAGGGATGTGGACTGAGCAAGACGTAGGACGTCTAGGGAGTGAGGGATGACTGGGCAGAAAGGTCTGGGAGGTGAGTTAGTTGAGGTCTCATGGGGCTTCTGGCCAGCCCTCTCTCAGCTAGGTTTCAGTCAGTGGGTCTTTTCTAGAGCCTGAGGAAGTGAAAAGAAGGAGTTGGTGGCAGGAATGGCAAGTCCAGGGGTACCCAGGTAGAAGTTCTCAATGAATCTGAAGCTGAGACAGCAGAGCAGCTGCAAGAAAAAGATGGTGCCAGTTGCTAAGGGGGCCCCAGTGGTGTCACCACACCCATGTGGGAGCTCTTGGTGGCTTGGCCGAGCTCTTTCCCTGGCTAAGCCTTCTGCCCTGTCCCCTCTTCTCAAAGCCCTTGAGCCCCTACACCAAGTACCTGCAGCGTCAACTTGATGGAGGTGCCCAGAGGTCAGGCTAATCTACCCTGCCGGCTCCAGCAACATCACGCGTGACCCAACCAGTGCTAGGGGTTGGAGGTCTAGGGCCTGCTGAGGCAGGAAGGCCCTGGTCCCACTGCCCTCCCTCTCCCCTGGGCCTCAGGCCCTAGGCCAGGGCTCAACAGACACAGGCAGCGGGATGGGGTTGCCCTTCTATTGGTCCAAGTCCTGAGCGTAGCCTGAGTGAGACATGGAGGTGAGGAGGCCCACGAGGCTCAGCAGCGTGGAGAACAGCAGCAGGAAGGAGGCGGTGAAGAGCAGGGCGGGGAGGGCACTGAGCACTAGCAGCAGGACAGCCGGCAGCAGATGGCTCCACGCTGCAGCCACGACAGGCCACAAGGAGCTCAGCAGGTGGGAACCAGTAGTGAAGAGAGCGTGGCACAGCATCAGGGCCAGCAGCAGGTAGAGGATTCCCTCTAGACCCCACAGCACACGCTGCACTGGTTGCCGCCAACCCGATGTGGTCCACCACTGAGTCCAGCTCCGGGGCATGCGGCACATGCACCAGTGCACCCAGCCCTGCCACGTGACCCAAGCCGACCAGGGCACTGCCGGCTGTGGCCCCTCGCCGGCCCCAGTGGCATCTGTCTCCATTCGCGGCTGCTGCATCACGGCTGGTGCACCTGGGGAGAGACCCAGGCCAGCTGCAGGAGCAATCCTGGAGATGCCTGGGTCCTCAGGGCAGGAGGGGGTGCAGGGGTCAGGAGGGCACCAGCATGGGTGGGGTGAGGCTTTGAGCTGGGGCTTGGGTCTTACCTCTGGGCAGAGCCACCTAAGTCATGTTGCTTCCTGCAGTGCCCGGGACGGCTTGGCAGCCAGAGGCGAGCCCCCACTCTCATTCGCTCCTACCCTCCCCAGAGGAGCCCCATTGTGACCCGGGCTGGGGTGGGGTCCAGCCAAGAGAAGAGCCACTCCAGAGTATGAGGCTCACCTGAGCCCCTCTCCATGGACCCTCCAGGCTGGCAGGGGAGCCTGGTAAGCCCATAGATGTAAATTCTCATGCTCTCTTTTGTGAAGCCTTCTCTGGATTCCTGTCCCTGCCCTGTTGGCTGATATCCAGTCCCACTCTGCTCTCTTGCAAGTCTTTCTGGGCACCCATTCTCTAGAGCTACAAAGGAAACCAGAATGGCCACCCCCAAGCTGCAGGCTCTGAGATGGCTACCACATCCTGCCTTGGGCTCCTTACCCTTTATCTCACCTTCTATCCCTGCCTTCAGATTCAGACCCAGGTACCCGCTGTCCATATTGTGGGGCTGGAGGTCCCCTGAGGGTCAGGCTGGGAATAAAGGGGTACCCTCCCGCCTGCCCAGCCCAGGATGGAGGAAAGGAGGCCTGAGGAAACAGCATGGCCAGTGTATTTCAGGAGGGCACTCAGGCCCAAGGATGAAGGCAGAAAGCCAGGCCAAGCAGGGCCAAGGGCATGCCATGGGCTCCCAGGAGCAGCCGCACGCCCAGGAGCAGCAATAGCAGAGCCTCCTGGAGTCTGAGTCGTCTCGTGACTGCCACTGTCGGCAAAAGTAGAGCCTCCTGCTGTCCTGGCCCCTCGCCGGCCCCGTGACTCTGGCCCCCTGTGAGAAGTGTGTGCTGTGACTGCGTGGAACCTGTGGGCCTATGGAGAGAGACGGTGGCAGCTGGGCTTCGAGAGGTTGACCACCTGCTCGCCTGCCTACACCTGCCCACTTGCCAGGCTGCTGTCTACTTACCCGTGGAGCAGGTCAAAGGCCAGGAAGCTGACTAGTAGCAGCAGCAGCAGCAAGGCTGGGCCAGCCGTGGAACAGACTGCCCAAATTGTCATTCCCAGTGCCCCCAGCCCTAGGACACTGTCCAGGAGCTGGGCAGGGCTAGGGACCCAGGGGGACACGCATGGACCCACTGGACTACCTGACCCCTTCCCAGCACCCAAGACCCTGGGGGGGACTGGGATAGGATAAGCAAGGGCTTTGGGCCTGGGTAAGTAGCCCTGGGTCATGGAAGGAGGTGAAGGTTACAGGAAAGACTAGTGCTGGGAGGGAGTGTGGGGGGTGGGAGTGTGGTAGGGGGTGGGACCCTGACAGACACTCAAAGGTGAGCTCAGGGAGTGGGAAATTGGGCTCCTTGGGAATCTCCCCCTCCCCACATACCCACCCACCCAACCCTTCTCACCTCCTCCCACTTCGATCAGCCATTCTGGGACTGGGCAGCTGGGACATTGTGACCTATTGCCAGGTGGGGCCCTGAGGTAGGAAGGGGACTGCTGCTGGTTCCGGCCTCATAAGCAGCTGGTGGCTTAGGTGGGGCTTAGCTAGAAGGAGGTCAGCAATTTCTGAGAAGTGAGACTCACCGTCTTGCCTCAGCTAATTCTCTGCAGTAGGGCCCTCCCTTGGGGATCTGAATTGCCAGGAAGGCATTCTAACCCCATCACTACATGGGCAGCTGACCAAGGGAGGAAGGGCTGCTTCCTTTGTTCTGTAGGTTCCTAGAGCTGTGTGTCCAGGGGCAAGTCATTCAATCTTTCTGTCCCCAGCTCTCTCCCCTGAGAGTAGGGTGATGGTGCCTGTGGGCCCTTGTAGGGGAGTTTTCAGGACTCAGCCCTGGAATGCAGAGATAGGCTCTGCCAGGAAGCAACCTGAGGCTTTCTGGGGCTGGGCTCCCCTGTGACCTGCTAAATGGGGGTGGGGCAGGAGGGGTTGTTTAGGTGTTCTAAACACTATGGTTTGTGGGAGGTGGATACTGAGATTCGAGAAATGGCATAGAGGATGTGAATGTAAGAAGGCTACAACATAGTAACCCCCAAACTGGAGGTTAAGGTTACCCTCTGAGGATGAAATTAAGGAAAATGAACATGTAATGAAGGGATTGGTCACCTGGAAAAGAAACCTATCCCCACTGATAATCTGTAAATGGGTGGTGCTTATGGAGGTTCCAGCACATCTCAGTTTAGTGACTTGAGAGGCAAGAGGGAAATGGATCATAATTGAAAGAACTTAATCTTGGTCCACATTTCCTACTTTGAAGGAAAACTTAGGGGTGGGAGGAGGAGGACAGTGGCCATACAGCCTCTAGGAGAGGAGGAGACAGAGCAAGAATTAGGCTGCATATCTGCCTCTAGTGGGCCCTGTCCAAAGACTCAAGCCTGGTGGCCTTGGCATCTTTGGTGGTGATGGGCTCAACAGCCTATAGAGCCAATGATGGGACCATTCATTGATTGCCCTTACTCTGGCTCTTCCCAGAGCAATAAAGCAATACCCACAAAATTCTGAGAGAAAATGATTTCTAACCTAGAAATGTATATCTGTCCAAATGATTATCAAGTGTGAGGCTAGAATAAAGACATTTTAAGCCATATAATTTCTCAAAAAGTTGACCTTGCATACACTCTTTCTTAGGAAGCTACTGGAGGATGTGCTTCAGCAAAACGGAGAATTAAACTGAGAAAGAGGACAATGTGGGATTCAAGAAATGAGGCTAAACACAGGAGAGGGATGATGAGAAAGGCCTGGGATGCCAGCTGTGCTCCCAGGTGATGAAAGCAAGTAACCCAGCCTGGAATCAAAAGATAGATGCTCCAGCAGGGATGTCTCCAGAAGAAAATGAGGTTGATTATCTGCTGTTTTTAGACATATTCAAAATAAATGTTAAGTTCTGTTGGAGGCTTTGGGATTAGATTAGCAATTGATGCTTAGAAAACCAAGCAAAGATAAAACAAAGTAATTACTAACTCCAGGGAACACAAAAAGTTGAGCGATAATGTTTACATGGTCATAGTATAAGCACTGAATATTGACTCCAGTGAGTTAGCCCTTTTGAGAGGATGGAAGGAGGGGAAATGTTTGTGTATTTGGGGGTGTGTGGCGGGGAGGGTGGTAGGAAAGCTAAATCCTTAATTCCATAGCAGGAAATCCACAGATAACATCTAAATTGAAAAATCAAGAAATAACAATAGAAGCATAGAGGTAAATACAAGGAGAAATAACAAAAAGAATTAAAAGTGGTTGACTTGGGAATGGAGAAGCATAGAAAAGAGTCTTCTATTACAAGCCTACATGTGATTTACCTTGGAAACTATATTCTGTAGTATTTTGATAAAAATGATTTAGTTAAAAAAAGCAAATCAATATAGGGTTATATTGTAGAGATCAGGAATATACTCTCCCAGGATGAATGATATACCAATTTCCTAACGTTATGTGGATGTACTCTTGTGGCTTGAGATAAAATTTCTAGTGATGGTATCACATACCATCAAACTTAGAAGGTGTGAATCTCATGCGTTTTAGATGGAGGTGCTCTAAATCTCCATCTAGTGCTTCTCAGTCTGTAATGTGCACACGCATCTCCTGGGGTTGAATCCTCTGGGGATCTTGTTAAAATGCAGATTCTGATTCAGTAGGTCTGGGGCGGGACTCTGCATTTCTAACAAGCTCCCAGGGGATGCTGGTGCTGTTGGTCCTCGGCCACACTTTGAGGAGCAAGGCTTTCAAAGATATTGATGCACAAAAGAGAGACAGCTGGGGTAGGTGGTGGTGAGGGAAGGATGGGCATGTGGGGAGATGCCTTCCTGTGCATCCAGGTGCCACATCAATGGCGAGTCCCCATCAATGCTCACCTGCATCATAGGGAGAGCATCTAGCAGGGAGTGAGTTCTGCCTCAGCACCAGGGACAGGAGATTAGGAGGCACAGGCAGGCAGTGGATTCCACTACTTCTCTATTTGTGCAGCCAGACACATAGCCTCCTTTCTTTTCTTGATATTGTTTTATTCCATCCATGTACGTGGGAGCAAGAGGACTGTATTAAGCTGTTTTCCTCACCTTTAATTCATCTAGTTAACTGAGGGGCCCCCTGGAACCACATATTAGATCACTTCATCACCACAGCAACCCTGAGAGGAAGGTATTATTGTTCCCATTTTACAAATAAGGAAACTGAGGCTCCGAGAGGTGAGATTACTGTCCAAGGATACCCAAACCAAGTAAATGGCAGAAGTGGGATGTGAAATTAAGCCTGTGTGGCACCAAAGTCATCTATTCTCTCCACTTCCAGATATCTGACCACACTGGGGAGTTGGCAGGAGATTCCCAGCCCACCCCTTAAACCGAAATCCCTTTTGGGCAGGAGTCTTCACCCAGTCTGACTCCGTCCTGCTCGGTTGTGCTTTGCAACATGCTTATCCTCATGAGGCCATGAAAAATCCTCCACCTGGCTCCCGGGGCTAGAGATCTGGCTATGCCAATACCTGGCTGCAAACCTCCTGCTGCCACCTTGGAGCTGCCACCTCCAGAACATGCTTCCAGGCTTGGCACCTTTGCAGCCCCAGGTAACCAAGTGGCAAGGGCCAAAGGCAGCAGTCTGGCTGAGAGCGCAGAAAGGCATGAGGGGATGAGGAGGTTATGAAGGGATGTGAGAAGGTGCTGAGGGGTTCCGGGGGCATAGAGGGGCATGAAAGGGCCCTTAAGGTTGCAATAGCCCAGAGAGGCAAGGGGTACAGAGGAGTGAGAAGGGGGATAAAGGGGCACAGGGGACACAAGAGGAATGAGCATCCCGCAGTTGCCAGTCCCTAAGAGATTTGCGGGAGGTGACCAGCATGCCCCATCCCGACAATTCCTTTGGGGGTGGGTCTCCTAGTTCATGACCTGCCATCTCCTCTCCTGCAAAACCTGGCGCTATTGGGGAGGACTAGCTTCCTTCCACCCTGCTTGGTCCCCTCTAACATTGAATATGTTAGACACGTACTTTTTGAGCGCTGACTAGAGACCAGGCACTGTTGTAGGCCCTGAGGTGCAGCTGTGAATATTTAGGTGCAAAAGTTTCTTCTGGAGGGTTGCTTACCTCTTGCTGGGTGGGTGGGGGGACTCAGACAGTGAACACATAACAAATAAAACAAGATAATCTCAGATAGTGTTGAGTGCCTTGGAGACAATAATAAAACCGAGTGAGAGGACAGAGTGTGTGGCTTACTTTCGTCAGAATGGTCAGAGAGGGCCTTTGGAAGCAGGTGACATTGAAAGGCAATCTGAATGATGAGGATGCAAACTTGGTGAACCAGTGCAAAGGCCCTGAGGCTGGATGGGGATGGTGCATTGGAGAAACAGCTAGAATGCCAGTGTGGCTGGAGAGATATGAGCCAGGGGCGAGCACAGGGAGATGAGGTGGGAAAGGTGTGAGTGGGGAAGAATCTTGTCATGAAGGGTCTTACAGGTGAGCCCATTAGAGACTTAAGCCAGGAGGAACTTGGCACAACTTGGCCGCTGTGTGGGGAAGTGGCTGGGAGGGGGTGGGAGCCTCAGGAGGCTGAGATTTCCTAGCCGGGTGCTCAGTCAAACCCCTTACACCCCTCTGTGAATCTTGGATGAAGGTGGGGCCAGAGACAGGGAAGTGGCCAGACTGGGCTTTAGGGGAGTGGGAGCAGCCCTCAAGACCTGTTCAGGCCCGCTTCTCCATCTACAGGAGCCTCTCCTGGCCTCCCATCCCTGTGAAGCGTAGGCCTGGGAAATATGGTCCTTCTGCCCCCAACCCAGCTCTGCACTTCAGGGAGCCTCCGCTTTGGAGCGCCTTCCTTGGGTTTTTTTAAGTCCCTCTTTGGTGTCTGGGACCTGGCAGTGCCATCCAGGCGGGGTGCTCCAAGTGGAGGCCGGGACCTGCATGGGCCCTGTCCCGGTTACTCCCTTTCGGGGGGTCTCTACCCAGAGTGCGTGGGGTGGACCAGATGCCTTGAGGAGCCCTGGGACTCGCGTCTATGAGGTCGTCCCTGCTGGTGCTGGATCTTAGTTCCAGGAATGCTGCGCGGTATTTCTTTCGAGAGATTGTGAGATTGGGCCGCTAGAATGGTGCTGACACGCTCATCTGGGGTGATTCAAATCGTTTACATAGATAATGGCCCTGCAAAAAATATTTGCTCAGGGCCCTCGGGCACTCCTGAGGATTTCTGGCCGACTCTGAGCATCGCTTCTTACGTGGGGATGGCGGTATCTCCCTGGCAGGCTCCTCGCAAGGACAAAGCACCGGCCAGAGGCGCACAGTGGACGCACTTCCTTCCTTCCGGGGAGGCGACCCTGGCGTGGGAGAGTCACAGGGGGCCTCGCAGGGGGATGGCCAGGGTACTGCGCTCTGGAATCCCCGGATCTGGAGCAGTCCCGCAAACGGAGACCGGGGCCTGCGGGCTCCGGGAAGAGGATGAGGCGGGGGCGGGGGAGGAAGTGGGGAGGGCAGGACGCGCATCAAGCCTGGGCCCCTCCAACTGCTGGGTATCGGCTCGGGCTCCTCTCCTCGGGTTATGTAACCCCGGAACGTGGCAGCTGGGCAAGCGAAGGAGTAGGGGAGGGGAGAGAAAGGAGAGGGGAGAGGCGGGGCCGGGGGTGGGGGTGGGGTGGTGAGAGGCGCCGTTTCTGGCTGGGCCCCTTGGGTTGTCCATCAGAAGGATTCCTGGAGGGCCAGCCCTCCTCCGGTCCCCCATCCCCGCCTGGGTTTCCCCTAGTCTTCTTTCTGTCCCACCCGTCCTATCAGGGTGCCTCTGGCTGTGGACGGATTTCCCTCTTGGACTGTAGTTTCCTCCCCTATGTTCTCAGCTTTGCTGCCTTTGCCAAGTCAATTAGCCGCTCTGAGCCTCAGTTTACCAGTTTGTAAAACGAAGTTTGATTGAGAGGCCACGTGTAAAGTGCCTGGCATGGTGCACGATACAAAGGTGTCCACTGTGGGACGGGCGCCTCCCAGGATTGAGTGAAATCGAGGGTGCCGAGGGCCTTTGCAGACTGTACAGGGCAGCGCACGAGTGAGGCTGGTGAGCTCCGGACGGCCGGAGAGGGCGGGCAGGGTCGGTGGCTCCGGCGGCCCGGCCGCACCCCGCGGCCCTTCGGGGGTCCGCCCCGCTCGCTCCGCCCGGCCCCCCGCCTCCCCTCCCGGGTCCGAGGCCAGCGAGCAGGCTGTGGGCGGGCCGGAGGCCGCAGGGGGCGTGCGGCGGCGGCAGGAAGGGGCGGGGGGCTCCAGAGCACCGCAGGAAGAGACCGACCCACCGACCGCCGCCAGCCCCGCGCGTCCCACCTCTGGATCCCGCCATGTGGGGTCTCCTGCTCGCCTTGGCCGCCTTCGCGCCTGCCGTCGGCGTGGGTGTGGGGGCGCCCAGCACCTCCGTGCTGGGCCTCGCACCGCCCGCGACCACCGGGGCCCCGATCTCGACCCCGGCCCCGCGGAGCAGCCCGGCACAGCCGCCCGCAGAGAAGAATAACGGTGAGCTCGGGCCCGAGGGCCGCTTCTCCGGCAAGTCGGTTGCCCCGCTCCCCGCCTCAACAGACACACGCACACATTGACACACACACACTCCCTGCCCGGTGCAATGGCTGCTGACTCAGCAGCCCCAGTTCCTGGCCAGACCAAGTCAGCAGTCCTGGGACAGAAGCCAGTGGGATGCTGCCTCTTCCAGCCCAAAACCTTCCCTTTTCACCGATGAGAAAACTGAGACCAGAGCCGGGAGCAGGGGAGAAAGAGGTGCAAATGCACTGAGACTAAAACGTGCAGAGCAAGACTGTGTAGGAGAGAGCTTGAGGGCAGGGGCTGGAAGGAAAGAGCAAGAGAAAGGGAGGAAGAATGCTCTTTGCTGAGGCTGCCTGGAGGAATGGGGCACTGTCTGGCGGTGTGGGGTGATGGGGACAGGCAGGCTGCCCAACTTCCCAACTTCTCAGATGTGGGAGCATAGAGGAGGAAGGCAAGGGGATGGCAGTCAAGGAGGGCTTCTCAGAGGAGGCCAGTGGAATTGGGTCCTAAAGGGTGAATATTTCTGAATCAGGAAGAGCTGAAGAGAGAGGGCAGCCAAGAAGGAAACAGTTTGTGCACAGGCACAGGGAACCAGACATGAAAGTGTACAGCATGTTCTGGAGGTACCTGTGGAGTTTGGGTGGGTGGGGACCTGGGACACAGGCCCAGCCCTGGAAAGCCTGAACACCCAGGCAGACGTGGATTTGAGGACAGGACATCTCAGCCCAGAGGGCAGAAGCAATGGTGGATGTGGCACAGGGCCTTTGGGGTGTGGGAGGGCTCCTTGAAGGGCATCTGGGCTGAGATGTAAAGGAAGAATGGGAATTAAATAATAAAATCAGAAGTGGTGGGTGATATGATGGGGAGGGGACACCTAGGTCAAAGGCTTGGAGGTAAAGAACCAAACTCAGCTCTTTGGAGCAACCAAATAGTTCCTAGTGGCTGGGTGTAGCTCTCTGTTGGGGAGGGTCAGAGGTGAGGCTGGCCAAGCATGTAGTCACATCAGGAAGGAGAAGGAGCCAAGGCAGTGGCTGGAGAGGCTGGTTGGGGTCAGACTGTGTAGACCTTTAAGTCCATGCTGAGGTCCTTAGAAACTTGTGTGTGTAGGGGGGCTGCTGTGGGCTTGCATGCTTTCTTGGGCTGGCAGACCTCTCTATCTGCCATTCTTCCCTCCTCTGGAGCTGTGCCTCCCTGGTCCCCAGGGACCTCAGAACAACATGTCCAGTTTCGCATCATCAAAAAGAAGAAGATTGTTATGAAGAAGCGAAAGAAGCTAATTCGCCCCAGACCGCTGGTGACTGATAGGCCTCCAGTGACCACCAGCCCTGCAGAGGCCCTTGACCTCCCCGAAAAGCAAGAACCAGGTACCACCCCTCCAGGTGCCCTGCCCAGACTTGTGGCCACTGGGCCACATACTAATGTAGCTCTTGGCCTCATAGATGTAGGCACACCCCCAGCCTGCCCAGCACGTGCACAAGCTGAGGCTCAGCTTCCCACGTGCCCTGACTCTCTGGTCCTGTCTCACTGCTCTGTCCCTGCCCCAGGCTGTCCCCCTTTGGGCCTGGAGTCCCTGCGAGTTACAGATAACCAGCTCGAGGCATCCAGCAGCCAGTCCTTTGGTCTTGGACCACACCGAGGACGGCTCAACATCCAGGTCAGCATCCCTGGCTCAGAGCAAGGCGACCTCTAGGACCTTCTTCCCTGCTGCTCCCTACCCCGCCATCCTGGCCCACCCCACACTGCCCATGTGGCCTCATCACCATGTTCTGTGCCCACAGTCAGGCCTGGAGGATGGTGATCTATATGATGGGGCCTGGTGTGCTGAGGAGCAGGATGCCGAGCCGTGGTTTCAGGTGGATGCTACGCACCCCACCCGCTTCTCGGGCGTTATCACACAGGGCAGGAACTCTATCTGGAGGTGAGGCAGGCTAGCCCCAGGCCGGAAAGTCATGCACAGACTCAGGAGGGCTAAGGTGGGTGTCCTGGGGGCCACTGATGATCTCCTCCACCTCTCCTGCCAGGTACGACTGGGTCACATCATACAAGGTCCAGTTTAGCAATGACAGTCGGACCTGGTGGGGGAGTAGGAACCGCAGCAGTGGCATGGATGCGGTGAGTGGTCCCCTGGCTGCTGGGGCCCTCTTTGCTGGGAGTTGGGCACCCAGCCCACTCTAGGGTGCTGGGCTGGGCTGGGGCTCCTCTGAGGACAAGGAACAGATGCCCAGTTGGGAGTTCCAGGAGAAAGGGGGATGTAGTCAGGATGGGTGGCCACCAGCAGGCAGCCTTGGGAGCCAGCCTGCTTTGGAACATGCCTGCATCTTCCCCAAATACTTCCTCCATGGGATGGGTGCCACTTCATGCCATAGCCTCCTGCTGGAACACTCCTTTTGGCAATGGGCCTCTGTTCCCTGCATCACTTCTCATCTGCCCATCTCATGGACCCCCCTTTTTTTTTTTAATTTTATTTATTTATTTATTTTTCCCCCAAAGCCCCAGTAGATAGTTGTATGTCATAGTGGCACATTCTTCTAGCTGTGTATGTGGGACGCGGCCTCAGCACGGCTGGAGAAGCAGTGCGTCTGTGCGCGCCCGGGATCCGGACCCGGGCCGCCTGCATCGGAGCGCACGCACTTAACCGCTAAGTCACGGGGCCGGCCCTCATGGACCCCTTTTACACCAGGCTACAGTGTGGGGTCCTGGCCAGCTTTAGGATGGGCTGCTCCTTAGCCTTGTGGCCAGCCATATTGGTCTAATGAACTGTGACCAAACCAGAAAGCATGGCTGCCTAGGGCTCCCATTGGCATGGGCTGTGGGCAGAGGGTCCATGTTTGACGCAGAGGGTCCATGTTTGACGCAGAGTGCAAGTCTCCAGCCAAGCCTACCAGGGTGGGTTTGATGGTGAGCTTGGAGGCCTGAGCTCCTTCCCTGGGTCCTGGGCCAGGCTGCTGGGATTCGAGCAGCCCCAGCAAAGGACTTGATGTCCCCAGGTATTTCCTGCCAACTCAGACCCAGAGACACCAGTGCTGAACCTCCTGCCTGAGCCCCAGGTGGCCCGCTTCATTCGCCTGCTGCCCCAGACCTGGCTCGAGGGAGGCACGTCTTGCCTCCGGGCAGAGATCCTGGCCTGCCCGGTCTCAGGTGGGCAGTCAGACAAGGCTGGATGGGCAGGGTACAACCTCCACTGTGAATGCACCCTTCCCCATGAACTTAACTCTCCACCAGATCCTAATGACCTATTCCCTGAGGCCCCTGCGCTGGGATCCCTTGATCCTCTGGACTTCCGGCATCACAATTATAAGGCCATGAGGAAGGTCAGATATAACCCCTATGACCCAGGAGGGAGGAGCTGCCTATCTCAGGTCCCCTTCCCACCAGGGTGTAACATGCTATGACTGCCCTCATGGCCCCCTCTCTCCCCTGCTGTCTCACCCTTCTCTCCTATTGACCCCTAAACTCTGCCTCAGTTTCCCTTATTATGGTGCCTCCCCTGTTCTGACCCTTCCTTCCAGTCTCCTGCTCCCCTCCTGTACTGTGCCATGGTGCCCCCATCTGTGTGAGCCACCACTGGCTTTTGTAAGTCCTTCCACGGCCACATGTGCTCTGACCCCCGGGTCTAATCCTCCCATGCCCCAGCTGATGAAGCAGGTGAACGAGCAGTGCCCCAACATTACCCGCGTCTACAGCATCGGGAAGAGCCACCAGGGCCTGAAGCTGTATGTGATGGAAATGTCGGACCAGCCTGGGGAGCATGAGCTGGGTACTGGCAGGTCAGGTGGGGAGAGGTAGGCACAGGGAAGGGCCGTGGGTCTGAGCCATCTGCGAGCCCCTGTGTGTTCCCAGGGGAGCCTGAGGTGCGCTACGTGGCCGGCATGCATGGGAATGAAGCCCTGGGGCGGGAGTTGCTCCTGCTCCTGATGCAGTTCCTGTGCCGTGAGTTCCTGCGAGGGGACCCACGGGTGACCCGGCTGCTCACCGAGACGCGCATTCACCTACTGCCCTCCATGAACCCTGATGGCTATGAGACTGCCTTCCGCCGGGTAGGCCGCCTGGCAGAAGGGCCACCCTGCCCTTTCCTCCCTGGTGCCCGGAGCCTGCTTGGCTTGAACAAGCCCCTTCCTTGGCAGGGCTCGGAGCTGGTGGGCTGGGCAGAGGGCCGCTGGAACAAGCAGGGCATTGACCTTAACCATAATTTTGCTGACCTCAACACACCACTTTGGGAAGCAGAGGATGATGGGCTGGTGCCCGACACTGTCCCCAACCATCACCTGCCACTGCCCGCTTACTACACCCTGCCCAATGCCACTGTGAGTATTCTGGGGGCAGTGGTGGAGGCCACCGTGGGGGCCCTTGTCTCTGTCTCCTGCCACTCCTCACCTGCCCCTGTCCAGGTGGCTCCTGAAACGCGGGCAGTGATCGACTGGATGGAGCGGATCCCCTTTGTGCTGAGCGCCAATCTCCACGGGGGTGAGCTCGTGGTGTCCTACCCATTCGACATGACTCGGACCCCGTGGGCTGCCCGCGAACTCACACCCACCCCAGATGATACCGTGTTTCGCTGGCTCAGCACCGTCTATGCAGGCACTAATCGGGTCATGCAGGATCCAGATCGCCGACCCTGCCACAACCAGGACTTCTCCCTGCATGGCAATGTCATCAACGGGGCTGACTGGCACACCGTCCCTGGGAGTAGGTGCCTGGGGCTGGAGTTAGCCCCGTCCCCTTAACCCTGCCCCAATAAGACAGTCTGCTGTCACGTATAGCACTGGTGTCAATTCCCACCGGGATGTGTCTCCCAGAGGAGGGCACCAGGAGGGCGGGGCTCCCATCCTGCCCCCTTAGGCTCCAGTGTCTGTGGTACCCCCAGGCATGAATGACTTCAGCTACCTACACACCAACTGCTTTGAGGTCACTGTGGAGCTGTCCTGTGACAAGTTCCCTCACGAGAATGAGCTGCCCCAGGAGTGGGAGAACAACAAAGATGCCCTCCTCACCTACCTGGAACAGGTCAGATCCGAATCCCCCTACCCCCGGCTTGCCCGAGTCACTCCTGACAGGTCTGCTCTCGGTGCAGGTTGCAGCTCCCCTCAGGGGGTCTCCTAAGGTGCAGGTGAACATTCTGACTCACAGATGCCATGGGTTGCACTTGGCATCAGATTGACTTGGAGGGATGTAGGACAGGAAGCACAGTTTGCCCGCAGGGTGGCATCAGACATTGTTAGCCCGTAGGAGTAGACCCCCCGGCAGTCTGGGCGGTGGTCCATAGAACCGTCCCAGAACTACTCTCGGGAGAGCTGTTCTCAGAAAAGTCTCACATTAGGCAAGTGCAGGAAGTGCCCTAGCATAGATGCTTTGTATTCCACAGGAACTCATGTCTCTTGCAATGGCTCCGTAGGTATAATTTCCAAGGGTTCTAAAACGACAAGCCCAGTAATAAGGGTCATTGAACTTGGGGAAGCCCCAAGATATGCCTTCCTGTCAGGTATTTATCGTTCTTCCAGTCCAAATGCAATGTGATCAATCAGGAGATATTTTTGCCAGCGTATTGTCACCTAGAAGAATAGTAGACATACCACCGTTTTCAAGTTTGCAGAGGAACAGAGCCAGAAAACGAACTAAAGGTCACCTTATCATGCAGAAGGGAAAGGGTTTTGATAACCTCTCCCCACACAGGTGCGCATGGGCATTGCGGGAGTTGTGCGGGACAAGGACACGGAGCTCGGGATTGCTGATGCTGTCATTGCTGTGGACGGGATTAACCATGATGTGACAACGGGTGTGTGTCTGGGGGAAGGGATGGCAGAGGTGTGGGCGGGCTTTAGGCTGGGTCAGAAGCTGGGGATCACTGGACCCTGATCTTGCCTTTCATTCCTCTCAGCATGGGGCGGGGATTATTGGCGCCTGCTGACCCCAGGGGACTATATGGTGACTGCCAGTGCTGAGGGCTACCACACAGTGACACGGAACTGCCGGGTCACCTTTGAAGAGGGCCCCATGCCCTGCAATTTCCGCCTCACCAAAACTCCCAAACAGAGACTTCGAGAGCTGCTGGCAGCTGGGGCAAAGGTGCCCCCAGACCTTCGGAGGCGGCTGGAGCGGCTGAGGGGACAGAAGGATTAACACCTCCAGCTGAAGAGCCCCAGAGCCTTGGGCAGGCTGGACCTGTCTAGAACTGAGGGAGGGGGGTCGGGAGTGGGGAGGGAGGGACAAAGTGGGGGAAGAGGTGCTTGGACTCATTAAAGCTACTTGGTACGTCAGCCAATCTTCCTTTGGTCTTTATATCCCAGGTCCTCCCCCTGCGCCAGGGCTCAGCTCCCAATCCTCCCTGATCCTATTCTGCACACACTTGCATACTCTCATCAGTTGACTTCTGGAGAAATAGTGTGGAAAGAGGATCCCACCTGGGTTCTTTGTGAACCTAGGGTTTGGCAGAGCAACTCCTCTCATCAACCATCAACTTCTGTAGCAGGTGCCATTATGGTGTAGTTAAACATTCTGAAAGCACCAGCTCAGTGCCAAGCGTTGAGGATAATGCCTGGTACCCACCCAACCTCCTGGGGCTTCCAGTCAAGAGAGGGTATGTTCAGTGTAAGGTATGCCAAGGTGGAGGCTGGGTGCTGTGGGAGCACAGACAAGGAAGTTACATGCATGGGAGTGAAATACAGCACTGCAGATCAACGGGGACTCAAACGGTCGAGGAAGGGGTAGAGGCGAGGGTTCTTGGAGTTTAGGTGGGAGGTGCGCCAACTTGGGGGGATGGGCAGGGACAGCTCCAAGAGAGAACCAAAGAGAACAGCTGACAGTGTTTGAATTTGCTTCACCAGCCATTTTTGGAGAGTTGGTAAATGACAGGATTTGAATAGTTTCTTTCAGACTAAAGGGGAAGTTATGTGTCAGTCTGTATCTTGCCAGGAAAACAACCTACCCTAGGTATTTTAAGCAGTGGGAAATTTAATGCTGGGCATTGGATATAAAGGTGTTGGAAGAGGTGGATGAGAAAAAGGGAGAAAGAAGTTTTACCTAGAAATCAGGAGGATGACACCCTTGGTCTGGCAGTGATAACCCTGTATTTGCTGATGCTGGTGCTGGAGCCCACAATCACCTGTAGCTGCCTGTGATCACTTGTGTTCCCCTGCCATGGCTAGAGCCAGAAGCAGAATAATTTCTCCCTTCCTTCCACTTTCTAATCTCCAACCTCTGAAGTCCACTGACAAAATCTAACTGTAAACTAGCTTGCAAAGAAGCCCACAAATTGTAGTTTCCAGGCTCCCATCCCACTGCAATTCAGAGGAGAGCTTGCAAGGGCAGGAACAGGGCAAATACTAACACGCAAAATATGGCATAAAGACATCCATGTAGCCCCCTGTTATGTAAACCCTGCTTAGCGCTGGGCTGTTGTATTGTGTTTCTTGAGGTGTCTGTCTCTGCCTCTCTCTCTTATTTTCAATCTCAGGTCATTATGAGGAATTTCGTGCTACATTTCCATTCTCCCTGCTCCTTTTCTCCCCACCTCCAACTCCTTTTGTACAACATCACTTTTTCCAAAAAAAGATTTGATTTTATTCATCGAAGATTAATATACATAATGAACAGTGCACAGCTTATTGGCAGCGTGGATTAAAGGACATGACTCAACTATATACTACAATAAACTCACCTCAAATGTAAGATATAGGCACCTTGAAAGTAAAAGGATGAAAAAAGATGTATCACACAAACATTAATCAAAGGAAAGCAGGAGTGGTTAACTTAATATCAGATAAAGTTGACTTCAGGGCAAAGAAAATTACCAGAGACAGAAAGAGACATTATATAATGATTAACTGAGCACACTCAGGTATGTCTGCTGGAAGGTTCCAGTGACTCTCTCCCTTCTCCCTTGGGTAGCCTAGAAACAGCTAGTTCAGCATAACTGAAGTGGCATGTGATCTCCCCTAGGTGATGTCCAAGCTCTGAATTTTTCCCACTTCTAGCAAGAAATTTCCCTGGCCAGAAAGCTCTCTCTGTTACATAGTTGTCAAGGGGTTCCCAGGTCCCTCCTACCTTCTTCATAATATGTAAAGCGGCATGACAATGGGACCCCTCTCCTGGAGTTCTTTTAACAGTGAGATCAGCCCTGCCTGGCCTAGCAAGCTATCTTTTGGATAAAGGGACTTTGGGGCATTATATGCATTCTCCCGACTTTTTGCCTAGAAGTTTCCTCCAATAAATCCTTTTTTGTGTCTGCACCATGTGTCACTAGAGGTGTTTACTTTTGCATTCCACTTAACATCTATGACAAGATGAAGAACACTTTAGCATAATTTGGTAAAACTGAAGGCACATGTGCCCCTATTCCTGGGTGTATAATATATACCATAGAGAAACACTTACGCATGTGCAAAAAGATACCTGTACATGAATGCTTAGAGTAGCTTTATTTGTAATAGACCCAAGTTGGAATCAGCCCAGATGTCCATCAAGGGTAGAATGGAGAATAAAATATGGTACATTTATGCAATGGAATTGTATACAGGAGCGAAAATAAACAACTGCTGTACACAACATGGATGACTCTCACAAAAACAATTTTGAGTGAAATAAGCAAAACACAAAAGGAAAATTGAATTATATTGTTTATGGATGCATGAGTGATAGAATAATAAAGAAAAACAAGGACGTGATTTTAATAAAATTCAGGGTAGTGATTGATTCTGGGAGGAGCGATGGAGCAACAATTAGGGAGGAGAATATGGCAGGCTTCTGGAGTGCTTGGCAATATTCTTTTCCCCTACCTGGTGGGAGTACACTGGTGTTCACTTAAAAATATGTGTTAAACTTTGTGTGAACATTTTATGTACTTAAAAAGTATCCATTTTCATTTATTAAAAATTTGCATACAATAAAATCTGCTTTTTTTTGATGTACACTTCAATGAGTCACATGCATAGATTCTTGTAACCACCACCATAGACACAGACATAAAGAGTTCCCTTGTGCAGTCCCTTTGTATTCAGACTCTCCTCTTGTTCCAACTCTGGCCAACCACTGATCACTTTTCAGTTCCTATATTTTTGCCTTAGCTCAATGAACTCTCAGCAGGATAAACTCAAAGAGATCCATATCTAGACATATAATCAAACTGTCAAAAGACAAAGAGAGAATCTTGAAAGAAGCAAGAGAGAAGTGACTCATCACGTACATGGGACAAAAAAGAGAGTTCTTTGGTCCATTTAAAAATTTGAGTAGTTCGTTTTCTTATTTTTGAGTTTTGAGAGTTGGATACAAGCCCTTTGTCTGATATGTGATTTGCAAATATTTTCTCCCACTCTGTGTCTTATCTTTTTACTCTCTTAATAGTGTTCTGTGCAGAGCAGAAGTTTTAAATTTTGATAAAGTTCAATTTATCAATTTTTTCTTTTATATATGGTACTTTTTGCGTCCTATCTGAGAACTCTTTGAACTAACCAAAAATTATGAAGATTTTTTCTATGTTTTCTTCTGAGAGTTTTATAGTTTTACACATTACACTTAGATTTATAACCCCTTTTTGAGTAATTTTTATATTTGTGAGACGTAAGGTGAGGTTTATTTTTTTGCATATGGAGGTCCAGTTTTTCCAGCATCTTTTGTTGAAAAGACTGTTCTTTCTCTATTGAAATGCCTTTATAACTTTGCTAAAAATCTGTTGGCCATCTTTGTGTGGGTCTATTTCTGGAATTTTTAGTCTGTTGCATTGGTATGTGTCTATCCTTTCACCAATACCACACTGTCTTGACTACTGTAGCTTTACGACACATCTTAAAATTGGGTAGTATGAACATGCAAAAGAATGAAGTTGAACCCTTACCTTACACCATATACAAAAATTAACTCAAAAGGCTTTGAAAATTTAAACTGAAGAGCTAAAACTACAAAACTGTTAGAAGAAAACAGGTGAAAATCTTCATGACAATGGATTTGTCAATGATTTCTTGGATATAACACCAAAAGAACAGGTAACAAAAGAAAAAATAGATAAATTTGACTTCATCAAAGTTAAAAAATTTTGTGCATCAAGTAATGCTACAAGAGAGTGAAAAGACAATACACAAAATGGGAGAAAATATTTACAGAAATTTAAATATCCAGAACATATAAAGAACTCCTACAACTCAACAATAACAACCAAACAAACCAATTCAAAAATAGGCAAAGGACTTGAACACATTTCTTCAAAAAAGATATAAAAGTGGTCAATAAGTACATAAAAAGATCATTAGTCACTAGGGAAGTGCAAATCAAAACCACAATGACATAGCACTTCACACCCATTAGGATGTCTTTTATCAATAAAATGGAAAATGACAAGTGTTGGCAATGACGTGGAGCAATTGGAACCTTTGTGTTGCTAGTGAGAATGTAAAATGTTACAGCTGCTGTTGAAAAGAGTTTAGTGGTTCCTCAAAAAGTTAAACATAAAATTATCAAATGACTCAGCAATTCTACTCCTAGGTATATAACCCCCAAAATTTTAAGCAGGAACTCAAACAGACACTTGTTCACCAATGTTCATAGCAGCATTATTCACAATAGCCAAAAGGTAGATAGAACCCAAGTGTTCATCAAAAAATGAATGAATAAACAAAATGTAACATACACATACAGTAGAGTATTACTCAGCCATGAAAAGGAATGAAATTCTGACACAAGCTCCAATAAAGACAAAGCTTATTAACAAAAAATATTATGCTAAGTGAAATAAGCCAGACACATAGGGAAAAATATTATATGATTCCACTTCTATAAGATATCGAAAATAGGCAAATTTATAGAGACAGAAAGTAGAAGTTACCAGGGAGTAGGAGGAGGGGGAGTGAGGAGCTATTATTCAATGGGTACAGTGTTTCTGTTTGAGATGATGAAAAAGTTCTAGAAATAGATGGTACTCCCAGCATTACATCATTGTGAATGTACTTAATGTCAGTGATTGTACACTTAAAAATGATTACAATGGTAAATTTTATTACAATAAAAAAACTAAAAACATCTCTACAAAAAATAGACTAGTGTAAATCCTGTATCTTTTTTTTCTTTTTAAAAATTGTTTTGGGGGGCCGGCCCCGTGGTGTAGTGGTTAAGTGCACGCGCTCCGCTGCTGGTGGCCCGGGTTCGGATCCCGGGTGTGCACAGATGCACCGCTTGTCAGGCCATGCTGTGGCAGCGTCCCATATAAAAAGTGGAGGAAGATGGGCACAGGTGTTAGCCCAGGGCCAGTCTTCCTCAGTAAAAAGAGGAGGA